GTGATCCCTGGTCTCGTTTTTATACCGTCAATAAAATGTTTTACAACTGCAATGAGTTCAAGTTTCGCCAAGTTCGGCAAATTCATATGAATTCATGAAGCACAAAGACCAGTGCCCATGTCCCGGCCTGTTAGAGGATGTGACACATGATGAAGTGACAAAAGATTTGCTTTAATGCTGGGTGATCTGAGTAAACCCTCTGGAGAAGTAGATGAAATAACACACCGAAAAGTAAAAGAAGCTTATCGACTATGTCAAGAAACAAAACGTGCGCAATGTCGATTCAGGAGTTTTCATAAAACACAAAACAAGCACTGTTTTAAACTCGTAACTTACTGTGATGGTAACTTCATGCTTTTTCAGTCGATACTTCAAACTCTTCATGTTTTCTCTTTGCTTGTATAAATAAACAGTAGGTTAGTATTTGAATAAATTACAACAAGAGTTACGCTTTACGGTTTAGTTTGATTGCGCAAAAACAACATTTAACGGCTGACAACACACTGCGAGTTTCACCTGACGCGAAACACCAGCAGGCTTATCTGGACCCGTTTCCTTACCGACAGCGCCGTAGCCCAATGGTAGTGAGGGATCGCAGAATAAATTACGCTCGAGCCAATCAGACCGTAGAGGGGGCGGGACTTCCTCGTGGTCAGCGTTTGAAATATTGTAGCAGGAAGCAACAGGAGATGCTGTTGTGCGCCTGACGTCATCCTTACCTGGAAAAAAGGCTGGACTTTGTCTCGAGTGAGAGTTATTGTGCAAAATATTTATTTGATAACAACACCTGAATTGCTTTGTGTGGAGCCATAAAGTTCAGGAAAGAAAATTGTTAGGCTACGTACGAAAAAGGTAGCCTATATATTACAGTGAATTCCATTATTCGGATTACAGCGCCAATATGTATGATGCTAATGATATATTCCTTTATTTTGCATGAAATGCGAGTTTGCATTAATCGCTGGTGTTAAACAATAGCACTAAATGACACTCGGCGCTACAGTTTACAATACCAACAAATGGTTTGCATAGGCTACCTTTTATTTGTGAAGATATCTGAATACATGTCTATCATTGGTTATATTTATGCCATTCAAGAGACGTGTTGCCCCCTTCTGGCCTTGAAAAGAACAAAAGAAACGAGAAAAGCCCCTTGATGAAACTGGTGTGAGGCCTTTGAGATTCTGTTCGAATAGTGTCAGCTTTTAAACGCCAGATTTACATATGGAACACTGAACAAAAGTAGGCCTATATTTAGCCGAAAAACAAACTAATTAATTAATTTATTTATTCAATTTTGTGTTTGCCTATTTAATACCTTTATAGATGTTTGGCACATCTGAATACATTTATTTATAGCCTATATACATGGAGAGATTGGAAATCAAACTTTGTCATTGTTGGGTTTATTTTTTCTATGCTTGGTTACCATAGATTTTGTCCAGGAAGTGAAAGTGAAAGATTTAGAGGAAGAGGCCTGATTGTCCTTGTATAAGCCCTCAGGTCAACCTCGTACAGTTATTCAGCAGGAAATTTGACTTTCTCACTGCCAAACACAACAATATTAACGGGACAAAATCGGATGAAAACAATCATATAAAAAGAGAATTAATGTTGATGTACTGTAGCACTCACAATGTTTCATTTATTTATGTACTTTACGCACCTTTCAATCACTTGAGTCAGGACAAAGAATTGATCAGAGTAGTGGTCAAGAAAAAATATTATTTTAGACCATGAACCAACAGGGCATTCATTTTCACAAATCAGGGCTTGTCATCAAGGCTGACACTAATGTTTCCACACTCCTGTTGTAGGCAACATCTGTGCGACCTTCAACTGGTAGTGAGAAATTTGGCGGGGTAGTTTTTAGCTGGAAGGAAGAATAATTCACTCTTGTCAAGTTTAAGCTGTCATGCAGGCTTTTAGAGATTGCATATGCAGGAACAGAAGGGGAGATGTTTAGATGTAAAGTGTAATGTCATTTCGCAGCTGTTGTCAAGAAAGGGGGAAAATTATGTTGTAAATACAAGACATTTTTTTCAATCTGATCTACTTCCAAATTTGATGTTTATTCCACTGTTACTTGCTGATTTATCATAACTATTTGTGAAATGCACTAGCAATTTCTGAGTGAAAGTTGTTTCAACGTAAATCCATGTTTTACAGTTCCACTAAATGATGTGTAGACATCAGAAGTAAGATCAATACCAGAGATCTCTCAGTGGAGAGAGGACAGGGATGAGATCAAGAGGGCAAGTTCACAAGGTTGAGTAAAGCACTAAAGGATTTTCTTGTCTGAGACAGTCTTATAAACAAGCATGATATATGAATGCTGGCCGTAGTTACTGTAGCTCAACTTGCTTAACCTGGTACTATATCACCAAGGTCATGGGTTAAATTCAGAGAATACACAGACACTGATAAAATACCCTGAATGAGGTTTATGAAGTCCTTATCGCTGTGAACAATAAGAGAGGATCCATTGTGTGTGTTCATTCGAAAACATCAAACACGACTTTCATTTGCCTATGCAAACGTAGTCCATGCTTAATTAGTCTCTCAATTGTTTAAAACAATTTCTTAATGGATGTTATTTCCATAGACCACAATGGATGTTGTTGTTATCACACGGAAAATATGGCTGGAATTTGAAAGCCTGTCCAAACAATTCTATAAACTTTTAGAGAATTTAATTTTGAGTCATTGTCAGCCTTCGAAGTCTCACTACAAAGATACAAATAAAACAGACATGATTAAATAGATTCCACTTTTCATTTAAAAAGGTCAAACAATTAGGATTAATTATACTGATAATAAAAATAAATTACAACAGAAATAAATAACTGTTCAAAAATAAAAGCAAGTCAATTATAACACATGCAATGTAGTACATTCACGTCTACTTTTTGGATTATATTGTTACTGAATACGTGCAGGGGTGGAGAGCAATATACTGAAACACTGTGGGTAGAATACACACATCAAAGAGGACAAATTAAATTCCGATGTGATGAAATTCTTATCTAGATCATAATGGGAATACATTGATTTGATGATGTGCATTAGGAAGTGACTAGTATAACATAACTCCTTACCCACTCGGTAATAGGAAACCATGTCTCCACAGGAAATCCTGTTAACAGTGGGGGATCTGATTATATTAGCTCACTCAGCGGGAGACCAAAGTGAGTTTTGTAATATTGACAAACATCCATGGGCAAACCGGTGAATTTGCATTCATACAGCACTCGTTTAACATCAAGGGAAGGCAGTCAACTTCATACCTCCACATTTGTGACCACATCTCATGAAAAAGGCAAAGTACATGGAAAGTTTGTTATGGAAGCAGCAGCAATAATGGTACTGGTCAAAAAAAATGGGCTGCTTCTGTACACAAACAGGACACATGCAGAATTTTTCTTTGTTTTGATTCTATTTCTAGGTATGTAGACAAACAAATTATATTCAAATGACATTTAAGTGCACACATAAAATGAGAGCAGCAGAGTTATAGGAGCCATAATTGTGCATACTGCTTTGTTTTTAAAGGATACTTTTGGTTTGGTCTTCGGTGGGAAAATATTTGCATCCAAAAAAGATTTGACTGCTGCCCAGACTGTTCCTCACGGTCCACTGACCTCTACTGACTAAACACGGGAGTGTGACGTATCATAACCAACAGAACATCATCAAGAGCATCACTTCTCTGCCGGGTGTCCATTAAAAGGCTCCTGTGTGAGTGTGACGGTAAACAGCAGCAGATGTACTGTCTTTTCAAATCTTCCAAATTACCTGGAAATGACCATCATTAGCTTACTATGTAAGTGATTTAAAGCAACCTCAATTTAAAAAGACGTTAAGCATTCTCATCAGTTATGAACCTGATCGCCCCTTTCTGGGTAATTAACTGCATGCCGCAGAGCTGTCATTTCTACTGGATAGAAGAACACGTTTGGATGTGTGCAAAGAGACTGATATGGCCTTCCGCGACTAAATGAAACATATTTCTGCCTATAGCTTTGCTCACTGTGAGAGGGAAATTCAGAGAGCGTGTTGTCAATCAGTGAGTGCGAGAGAAAAGGAGAATCAGCAAATTGGACTGAAACTTTTACTTTGGCCTTTTCTCAACCAGGTGGTGTGGTTATCCATCCTTATTAAGTTTTAAGGTGTAAAAACATCAAATGAACTGATGTTGCTGAGAAAGTGTTTTTTCTTTTTTTAATAATTGTAACTGGCTTATAATATAATGTAGCTACAAAGGGTAGATAAGGGCTAGTGACACAATTTTTTCTACAATTAATATTACTTAAGGTAGGTTTATTTTGTCAAATGTTTGTATAGGACTTTAAAATCCTAACTGCAAAAAGGCTATTGAATCTAAGTCTTATTCCCCAGATAAATAAATAAATAAATAATGTTAATTGAACAAATTCACTTTTCATTGACCAATAGGATGTGTGGTAAGTTGTCAAAATGGCGTTTGCCATTGAACATCTTATTATATGCTTTTCAGCTAATAACTATGCAACGCAAAATAATTTACAAAACAGCAAAAACATCAAAGGTAATATCCTACAATATCAAACCAAAGTTTTAGCCAACAACAAATATTCTAACTTGCCCTGGCCTCACTTTTATGCAAAATACCCTTTTCCTGAAAACACAGTTCAGCCTTTAAGTTTAAATCTAACAGGCTCAGTGTGGTTTTAATATGTTCACGTGTTACCCAACGGCTATAGCAAAATGATGATGCTGGAATTTAATTTCGGAGGATGACAATGTGTGATAAACAATGTGTTTGAACACAAAATCACTACTAGGAAAAACTGGAAATTTGACCTAAAGCCTTATATTTGCTCAGACATAATCCTCAGAAACATGCATGGTCTCTTATATATTCTGTCTTTATTAAAGTCAGATTTTAATTTAACACTCAGAAACAACAAGACACACACAATTACCCCTAGAACTGAGATATAAAGTGCACAATACTGTATTATTATTTTTAACATTTCATGGAAGAGGAATTGTTCAAGTATGGTGCACTGAATGTTCAATGTCGGTTATGGGTATGGGTTTGCCTTTAGCAGCTTTTTTGTCGTTTTTTTAAACGCAAAATTAAGGTAACATTTTATATGGAAAGTTGGGCTATTTTAAAATAATGTTTCACAAGAACAACAAAGACAAAGACATTTACGCAATACAACTGTACACCATGCTTATACTGTTGTAGGTACTGGCAGTTCATCCCAAAATACCAATTCTATTCTTATTTAGGCTACTCACCCTCATGCTGTCCCAAACCTGTCAACTGACATCCCATTTGAGCTCCACTGCAGAAATAAAGTCATACAGACTTAGAAAAACACGAGGTTGGGTAAATAATGACTGACAGTTACATTTTGGGTAAAATAACCCCTTCAACAAGGAATACCGTTTGTTCCCCAGGATGCACGCACACTTATTTCTCTCAAACTCGGAGAAACAGGTCCTTCAGTTTTTTCCTGAACTCTTTACGCATAAGACAGTAAATAAGTGGGTTTAAACAGCTGTTCGCGTGCGCCAGGCACACGGTCACCGGAAACACATAGGTGTGAACGATATAGTACGACTTATCCCAATACACAGCATTGAATTTCACCAGCACGCCCCAAAACGTTATGGCATGATTGGGCATCCAGCAGAGGAAGAACGACAAGACCACGATGGTGACGGACTTTGTGACTTGCGTTCTTCGTTTCGAGTTGTTCTTCATGCTCCGCTGTCGGATGAGCCTCAACAGCAGCAGGTAACTGATGGACACGATTGCCATGGGCAAAATAAAAGCGATCAGTATTTTCTGGAGATGATAGACTGCCAACCAATACTGTCCGTCGGGGAACCGCAATAAACAAAGCTTTTCGCCGGCCACGTTGGTGACTGTGGAGAAGATGGATGTTGGCGCGGTGGCCACGGTGGCCAGAGACCACAGGACGACGCTGACCCACCTGATGGAGCAGCTGGTCTGTCTGCCGCGGTCCTTCAGAGCTGAAGCCACTGACCAGTACCGTGTGATGCTCATCGCGGTCAGGAAGAAGACGCTCGCGTACATGTTCATCACGGTCACCGACAGGATGATCTTACACATGGCGTCTCCAAACGGCCAGCTGAAGTCCAGCGCCGTGTCCACGGCCCAGAAAGGCAAAGTCAACACGAACTGAAAATCCGTGACGGCCAAATTGAGGATGAAAAAGTTTATTTTGGATGTGCGTCTCTCTTGTCTCACGCGAATAAAGAAGAACACCAACAGGTTCCCGATCAGACCAACGACGCAAACCACCGAGTAGGTGATGGAGATCAAGCATCTCAACACCGGACTCCCGTCGGCTGTCACATCAATGTCTTCCAGGCTTTTAAAGCGCTCGCGATCACTGATTGATCTGTTGATTACACCACTCTGATTACTGTCTCCCATTATATCCAGCGATTTCACTACTTCAGCGTTGCCCATAACGACAAATAATGTAGCATATACACTTATAGATTCATATGTACTCCTCTATAGTTAGTAAACTTATTGTTTAATCAGATTTATGACTAAATTTTAGGCTTTTTAACTGATAACTGGCAAAACATTACTCATCCTCCATCACCATTGCACACCAGATAAAGGTTCTGAAACTATTGAGCACAATGCGGCGCGCGCTAGAATTTATGTCGGGCGCTTTTTAAATGTCCCCGCCCATCGAGAGCAGCGATTCGTCTCCCCGTTTGATTGACAGGACGACGCCAAATAAACATAAGCCTATACAAAACCTTGGTGTGTCGCTCGCGTTTGCTGTAGTTTTTGGGTTCATACCATTATAAAATAACATAGCCTACATTAATATATGGATCATTGACGTTTCAACAGGCCAATTCTAAAATACAAAAAAATAATAATATCTATTGTAATTGTTCAAACATCAAGAATGTTGTGTACACATAATTCATGTTAAAATTTAAAATGAAGTGATTTTAGTGTTTTTTCATCTAGATGAATTGGCCATAGCCTTAAATGGGTCCTATTATGCTTTTTTACTTTTTTAATTTTAGGCAGTGTGTAGTGCGTATGTTTGGGCATTAAAAAGATCTAGAAAGTTACAAATCTCAAAGTCCACTCCAAAGGGAGATATTTCGTTTTTAAAAAATCCCTTTTCAAGAACTACAGCGAACGGCTCGTTTGGACTACAGCGTTTGTTTTCCGGGCTTTGTGATATCACAAAGCGGCTCATTAGAATTTCATTACAAATAATTCCCGCCTACAGAAATTCGAATGGTTGGGGGGTGGGGAGGGGCGAGGTTGTGGTTAGAACGCTTGGTTGAGTGAGTGCATCAGACGAGACGAGACGAGACGACAACGAAGAAGTGCTGCTGCAGAGTTAGTGCATCAGAGAAAACCAAGAAGAAGAGCTGCTGGGCTGTAGCGTAAAATTTTTGGCATGTCTAGAACAGCGGTTCTCATTTCCAGTCCTCGCGTACCCCCGCTCTGCACATTTTGTATGTTTCTCTTATTGCTTCATACGTTTGTTATATTTGACTGTAAGTGCCCTGCGAAGTGGACATTACCGGATATTCCTCCATGATTCCAGTTTGAAGGGAGCGTATATGTTCCATACAAAGGGCATTTAAGTGTGCGAGACGTGAATTTAAATTGTATTTATTTACAGAGGTATATTATGTCCCACTTCACGCTTCTCTAGTAAGTTTCGTTTGTGTGTGAAGACGCTGCAGCGGAGCAGAAGCACAAATCTGTAAATGAATATTCCGAAGTGAAGTAAACTTCAACGGATTTCCCCTGCTCAGGGAGTAGGGAGCAATGGACACTGTGTAGGGAGCATGTCAATCGGCACACAGTTCATGCACGGAGCTCACTTCTAACGAGATGATCTGAATCAGGTGTGTTAACAAAGATACCTTTGATACCTTTGATAGATACCGCGCAAAACATGCAGAGCGTGGGTACGCGGGGACTGGAATTGAGAACCGCTGGTCTAGAACAGTTCTTACAAGTATAACACGACGTAGCTGGGCGCCGCGGTCAGGCGACGCCGGTGTGCCTACACTCATAGAAAATAATGTATTTGAATTTTAAAGACGTGGCACGACGCTGCGCTTCTCGTTTTGGGCTTTGTTTGGGCTTCCGAAAGCGGATATTGTCAGGAAACAGTGGTTGCAATTTACTTTTTAACTCTGTTCCTGAGCATTATAACCCCAATTTGCTATTGTGTGCTGCACATTTTACTGAGGACAGCTTTTACAACACGAGTGAGTAGTGCCGGATTCGCCAAAAGCTGTTGTTGAAAGACGGAGCAAGGGGCGTGGCAGTACTGAAACACCGTCTAAGCTGTTCACCAATCACAACGCACTGGGACAGCTAACCAATCACAACACATTCTGTTTTTCGGAAGGCGGACCTTCATCAAAGCCGGAACTAATCGAGCCGTTTGTGCCAGGCTGGAGAGAAAGGTATTTTAATAATGTAAATTATGTGAAAAATAATGTGTTTTTCGAACCACCAAGCATGAGAGCATGTTCTAGTACACCCCCAAAACAAAATCAAGACTTTGTAAAAGAGCATAATAGGACCCCTTTAAGAAATGTCATGTGGTGCGACCATGATTTATATTAAAATTAAATGATTTCCTTAACATAATTAAAACATTTTTGTAAATGTTCTCAGTAATTGAAGTGTTTAGAAACAAAGTATTTGCATTTAATTTGAGTTTTTGTAAATAATGATCTCTTATTTTTGTTCTATAATTTCAGAGTTGCCTTCTTAAATGTAGTTAACAGACTTATTTTTCCTGTAAATTGCATAAAACTGATAAAAAATGTTTTAAAAATACCGTTCACTTAAGCATACTGTAGTGATTCATATTTCAACCACAGAAATGAGATATTTTATTTTTTATTTAATACAGCTATTGCTATTATTGATCGCACTACGTGATGAGTGGTCGCTCCAAATGACACAAAGACCTTATATCATTAAAATCTATTTAAAGAGACGTGTGAAAAGTGCAGCACATGGCATTAACTGCAGGCATTTCTTTAGCCCCAGTTATTTCTGTACTTTGCCCAATATTGGCTGCTCAATTGACCCTTTTTTTTTTTTTTGATTAACAGGCAGTCTGACATATTATAATGCTGAATCCGTCATTTTTGTCCAACAAACAAACCAGACAGGAGAGTAGATTAACTTCGGTGGACTTGAACTTGTTGTTTGAATTTCTTTTTTAAAAAATGACAAAATTTGAACACTGAGACTTTGTTTCATACTAAAAGTAACCAGCTCTGTCTTGTCTGTCAGCTCATTGTCAGTGTCCTCTTTGCTCCGTGATGTATTTTTCAATGCGTGAGAACGTGATGTGTGGCATAAAAGTGCCATGGTTTGTCGGACGTAGCAACAGTAACTAAGGGGAGCAGATCTTTGCGAAAGGTCAATTTAGAGTAGGGGGAGGTTGCTGGCTCAGGTTCTGCGATAACAACATGAACATCTTTCTTATAGTAGAAAATGACATCTGGAGTTTGTGCTAGAGTGCAGGGTCAGAATTAACATGCTGCCTATGGTGAGCGTTTATTTTACTTTGCTTGGCAGTGGAATCTGGCAGAATAGATTTAAATAGTTATTAATAAATAAATAATAAAGTCTAATAAATGCATAATTACCAAACTAAAATGACATGCTCTGAATTATTTATTTTTTGCATTTTTTTCTCAAATTGTACAAAGATTAAACATAAAAATTTATTCCAAATTATACTAAAATAAGATATTTTATGTATATAAACCATCAATTGAATATAAAAGCACAAAAACTGCCAATCTGGGACATATATCTATAATGGAATACACTCTGCAGTGGTTGCACCACATGATATTTGGTTGCACCACATGATATTTTCAAATTCAGTCAAAATTTACAAGCACAGAATTGGCCACCTAAACAAAACAAGCTAGCTTCCTACAAAATGTCACTATGAAATTTATAATGAAAATAAATACTTGCAGAAATAACTTAATAGTCATTGTTTTTTGAGGTCATACCACATGATAACCAAATGTGGCAACTACATACCAGCCGTTAAAAATGTTCTTTTTTTCAAAATTTGAAAGAGACTTATAAACCTGCTTGATGCTTCCATGGGTCCTTAGTAAATTTGTATATGATGCAAAGTCCTATCTTTGAATGGATTTTAACATAAAAGTCCCCAAATGTTAGTTTCTTTATGGTCGCACCACATGATATTTCATAAAATGGAAATCATTGGACAGAGTTTGTTAGTATATTATGATGGAAATATAAATACAAATGCTTTGCAATTTTACACAGGATTACAAAACACTTTGGAAATCATGCCAAATAGTGCATACAATTAATTTGAATAAATTTAGGGTAATTTCAAAGATGTTTACAAAAAAAAAGTTATGGCTGGACGGTCGCACCACATGATATTTTGACACTTTGAATAACAGAAAAATTACAAATAACTAATGTTTTTTGAAAAGTTAAAGTGAGTTCATACATGGGAGAGGCCATTCATATATATGGCATCTTTTTTATGCATTTAAACTAATTTTTAAATTGAAAAAAATGCAATCGGACAGAAAATGTAGGCATCACGTCATATATAGTATACAGAGTAAAGAAATACTTAACAGTTTATTCAGATTCATATCTTTTTATGTAAATATTATATATAATATATTTATCCAGACAAAATTAGTTATGTCAGTTACTAAACTTGATTTACAGTCTTAAATGATCGATTTTACTTGTAGCACATACTTATAAATCTACAGGCATTAAATGGTAATGACCTCAGAAGAAGAATCAAATAAGCTAAATAGCTGTCAATACACAGTTAAAGATATTTGCTTAAGTCAAGAGCAGGTGGATCTTGCCATCTTGGTAAGTTTTCACTGCCATCTGCTGTTCACATTTAAATATACACCAGTTTTTCTCAAGGCTTTTGTCAAGTTGCTCAAGTTGACAGTCACATTAGTATATTAACACAGCCTGATACTGAAGGTTTCTAACATGACAGTTGTCGCAGGAGCATTATTGTATGAGAGAATTGGAGGAATCACAGAAATCTATGCACTTATTTTAGGACTTATTTTAAAGGTAGAAAAGATTTACAATGTTCATGGCATTTGACAAAATGACTGGTGAGCTACAGAACAAACTTGAGAGAAACCATAACTTATCCATATTTTATGAGAGTTAGTTGTTTGGACACAGTATGTGGATTTTATCATTCATGAATGACAACCTAATGGAGAGAGGTGCATTAAGATAAAGCATAAAAAGAAAACATGTTTTATGTATATATATATATGTATGTGACGTGACATGTGGCCAAGTATGGTGACCCATACTTGGAATTAGTGCTCTGCATTTATCCCATCCAAAGTGCACACACACAGCAGTGAACACACACACACCGTGAACACACACCCGGAGCAGTGGGCAGCCATTTATGCTGCGGCGCCCGGGGAGCAGTTGGGGGTTCGGTGCCTTGCTCAAGGGCACCTCAGTCGTGGTATTGAAGGTGGGAAAGAGCACTGTACATTCACTCCCCCCACCTACAATCCCTGCCGGTACGAGACTCGAACCCACAACCTTTGGGTTGGGTCCGACTCTCTGGAGAGATGCTAGATAGCGAGGGGCAGCTTTTCTTCTGAGGAGGTTCTTCATCTTCCTCTTCTTCAGACGAGCTGTCAAGAGTCAAATCAATCACCTCCACTTTTGTGCTGTTGCCTCCACTGTTGCCGTTTGTTTGAGAGTTCTGCTCCAACACTGTTGTACGACATCCACCTGATTACACACACACACACACACACACACACAAACACAAACACGCAGCAGACGGTAAACCAAATATTTTCATGGTGTATGTTCATTTTATATAAGCATGTGTACGGCAAGGCGGGATGGCGTTTCTCAGGGGAAGGTTAATGTCACATCCATTGTTTGCCACTATCGACCAGATCAAGAAACACTCAAGAAACATTTCTCATAATTAAAATGAAAAGCTACTATGAAAAAAAAAATTTCATGACACGCTGATGAATAGAAAGTTCAAAAGAACAGCATTTATTTGAAATTATTTGATTAGATTTTTTATTACATTTTTTGTAACAATGTAACAGTACTGTCACTTTTGATAAGTTTATAAACAAATTTAAAAAAAAAATGTATTACTTAAAAATTATTTAATTATCAAAATACAATGCTGTGCAAAATTACTGTATTAGGGCTTTCAAAATGCCTTAGGCCAATTCTCAATTTTCAAGAACCCAAAATGCATCCTGCAGCACTTCCTCAACAATATGAGGAGATGATCAGCAGTAACTGGGACTGACCATCAATACCATTGTATGAAGCCGACACCTCCTGCACTTCCCTTTTCGACCTCATGGGGGCCCAGCTGCCATCTTCTTTGAACTGGATTTCATCACAATCTAAACAGCTGTTCAGAATCTCCATAAACAACCTAAGGATGGACAGAGAAATGGGTAGGGAAAAGGAGAGGAAAAAGACACAAAGGAGAGATTAGAGAAGAGAGAATGTAAATTTAGGGATCATCCAATCAATGGAAAACAGCTGGAAAACTTCATGCAAAATCAAAATTATATTAGAAAAAATAAATGTGAGTTTATATTGTTACATAAATATTTTGACTACAACTATATATGTGACCCTGAACCACAAAACCAGTCATAAGTAGCACAGGTATATTTGTAGCAATAGCCAACAATACATTGTATGGGTCAAAATTATTATTATTTTTCTTTTACGCCAAAAATCATTAGGATATAAAGTAAAGATTATGTTCCATGAAGACATTTTGTAAATTTCCTACCGTAAATATATAAAAAATAAATTTTTGATTAGTAATATGTATTGCTAAGAACTTGATCTGGACAACTTTAAAGGCGATTTTCTCAATATTTAGATTTTTTTTGCTTTTCAAATAGTTGTATCTCGGCCAAATTGATTGCTTCTGTTGTCCTCATTTGGAAGTCGCTTTGGATAAAAGCGTCTGCTAAATGACTAAATACATTTAAAAAATAAATATAAGTAAATATATATATATATATCAATATCACATAGGGTAAGGATTGTAAAAACAACTTAATTAATTTCTTGTGCTGTTCTGTTCTGTTATTGTTCTGCATACCCGTCAATGATGAGATGTTCATAGGGTGCTTTTTTGTCACATACAGGACACACCCATGTGGGCTTCTTTTCATTCATCTGGATGTAGAGCGTAGCATCAAAACACTGCAGGTGTGAACACGTCAACGCCCGACACGGAATCATTAGCCGCATCTTTCCCAGCTGCGTAACAAACAAAAGCACAGACAATCATGAAGGAATTAACACACACAGACATCCCACATGGAAAAAATCCCTCACACACACACATATATATACATAAACAGATGTAGACTTGGACACAGACCAAAGAATGAAAAGAGAAACATGAACAAAACTTATATAATCATGGCAACATACAACTGACATTAAACAGCCTAATTGTTTTAGACAGATTTATGAGTCATAATATATAAAACGCTCTGAATCTGATTTCATTTTGAGTTTAAAATAAAAAACGTCAGTCTTTGCTTTGTGTGATCTTTACTTTGAAACACTAGAATCTTAAATAATAATATGTTATAAAGCTCTGGTTCTCATAAGGACTTTGTAAGGTCCTATAGCTGGTTGCAACAGACCTGTCAAGTAAAAAAAAAAGCCTTAGTGATAATTAGTTTGGAATTGTAATTAAGAATTTTCTTAGCTTAAGAGGTTTGTTGTAGCGGGTCCTTGGGCTTAAACGAACATGAAGACCAAAAATTGCTCCAAAAATATGCATTATTGTGTATGTGTGTGTGTGTGTGTGTGCATGTTTAACCGAGTGATCGGACAAATAAGATGCTTACCGGACATAATAATGAAACTCTTAGGCTGGTGGTTGCTATTTCACTGTCAGGGTCTGCCGTTAACTTTTCCTTTACTGCAGGACATGAGCAAAAGCACACATTAGCAGCTGAAAACACACAGAGATCTTTACAACTGCGTTGCTATGAAAAAATGGCTTTGAGTTATTAATACAACTGGAGGAATGAAAGAACAATATGGTCACATTTAACCTGGCAATAATAAAGGATTGAACACTTCAATACATCATATTCACACCTACACAACCATTCAGAAGGTTGGGATTAGTAAGATTTTTATTTCTTTTTGAATGCAATGAATATTTTTATACAGTGTGGATACGTTAAATTGAAATAAAGTCACAGTAACCACATTTATAATGTTAAAAAAAGTTTTCTGTTCTGAAATGTCAACAAAGAATCCTGAAATGTATCACAATTTCCCCTAAATATTCCGGAGCACAAGCACAATTGTTTTCAACATTAATAAGAAAAAATGTTTCTTGAGCACCAAATCAGCATATGAGATTGATTTCTGATGGATGATGTGACACTGAAGACTGGAGTAATGACTGCTGTAAATTCAGCTTTGCCATCACAGGAATAAATGACTTTTTAATATATATTAAAATAGAAAATAGTAAAAGAAAATTATTATTATTATTTTAAATTGAAATATTATTTCACAAAATTACTGCTTTATTTCAATTTTGATTAAAAAAAAAAGCAGCCTTGGTGCTGGTAATTAAAAAAAAAAAAAAAATCTCACAATCCCCCACTTTTGAACAGTAGTGTGTATTTATTAAATGGGTTATCGTTGGAAAAATATGATATTCACAGCCATAATCTTCACCATTACACTTTAAAATATTTCTAAAACACTTGTTTGTATTTCTGAAATCATGTGAATAAATATTAGTGCTTCAGAATTTGGTTGAGCTGCCTCAGGCTGCTGTGCTGTAGCTTGTTTACAACAGGGGCATCAGGGCGTTCTTTCAGAATTAACAAGCCTCTTCAGACAGTTTATAGGTTGCTACATAAAATTTTAAAGTATCATGGAAAGTTTGAAGGGCAGATGAGAACAAAGAGCAATCTGTGTAAAGCAGAACTGGGATGTTGCATTTCTGTCAGTGATCAGATCGATCCTAGATGAACTCACACCATGCTATACAGAATAAAAGATTCTGGTATATATACACAAGCACTACTTAGTCTTGATAGGTTTAAGAAAATGACTATTGACTAGTCTATGGAGCACAATTTTTAAGGTTTTAAATTGGATAAAATAATACACCAACAAATTATTGGTCCACAATATAGTGTATCTTTGCCTTGAGGAAGGAACAAGAGGACACAGAGACTATTTCTGTCTGAATTAAACTAGCAATAAAAAAATCCATCTTCATTGCCATTTTTAGATTAGATATCAAGAAAAAAAACTAAATTAAACCTTAACAGAGCTGTTCAGTCACTGAAGTCCTCTTTTAGCAACTTGTTCAAACACAGAGGTTTCAAAATTCACATCTGAGGCAATTATTACAATTTAAAATAACTGGTTAAATATATTTCAAAATAATATTTACCTTTTGTTTTTCAGGATTGATGAATAGACATAAAAAACAGCATTTATTTGAAATAGAAGTCTTTGGCAACAAAGTCCTTACTTTACTTTAATTTAATGCATCCTTGCTGAATAAAATAACAGTAGTATAAATCAAAAGTGTAAATCTGCTATTCTAAAAACCCAATGGAAATTCCTGTGGAAACCCATAGCTCAAAAATGATCATTTTCTCCAGGTTTTAGGACAACAAACAGGACAGCTTCATGTGCATGCTTACTGAGTGCTCTGGAGTGATCTGGATTTCTGATGCCTTTAGCCCGTAGCCTCTGCAAAAGCATTGTAGATGACAGTTGTTTGACCAGGTACACCGCCATAGAGTAACTCTGAGAAAACAATCCAACAATTGATTCATTACTAGAGACACATTGGCACCCCACACTTCAATCCGAAAGAGAAACATGAACAAAACTTATATAATCATGGCAACATACAACTGACATTAAACAGCCTAATTGTTTTAGACAGATTTATGAGTCATAATATATAAAACGCTCTGAATCTGATTTCATTTTGAGTTTAAAATAAAAAACATCAGTCTTGGCTTTGTGTGATCTTTAACTATTCTGCAACACTAGAATCTTAAACAATCTGGCTCTCATAAGGTCCTATAGCTGGTTGCAACAGACCTGTCAAGTAAAAAAAAAAGCCTTAGTGATAATTAGTTTGGAATTGTAATTAAGAATTTTCTTAGCTTAAGAGGTTTGTTGTAGCGGGTCCTTGGGCTTAAACGAACATGAAGACCAAAAATTGCTCCAAAAATATGCATTATTGTGTATGTGTGTGTGTGTGTGTGTGCATGTTTAACCGAGTGATCGGACAAATAAGATGCTTACCGGACATAATAATGAAACTCTTAGGCTGGTGGTTGCTATTTCACTGTCAGGGTCTGCCGTTAACTTTTCCTTTACTGCAGGACATGAGCAAAAGCACACATTAGCAGCTGAAAACACACAGAGATCTTTACAACTGCGTTGCTATGAAAAAATGGCTTTGAGTTATTAATACAACTGGAGGAATGAAAGAACAATATGGTCACATTTAACCTGGCAATAATAAAGGATTGAACACTTCAATACATCATATTCACACCTACACAACCATTCAGAAGGTTGGGATTAGTAAGATTTTTATTTCTTTTTGAATGCAATGAATATTTTTATACAGTGTGGATACGTTAAATTGAAATAAAGTCACAGTAACCACATTTATAATGTTAAAAAAAGTTTTCTGTTCTGAAATGTCAACAAAGAATCCTGAAATGTATCACAATTTCCCCTAAATATTCCGGAGCACAAGCACAATTGTTTTCAACATTAATAAGAAAAAATGTTTCTTGAGCACCAAATCAGCATATGAGATTGATTTCTGATGGATGATGTGACACTGAAGACTGGAGTAATGACTGCTGTAAATTCAGCTTTGCCATCACAGGAATAAATGACTTTTTAATATATATTAAAATAGAAAATAGTAAAAGAAAATTATTATTATTATTTTAAATTGAAATATTATTTCACAAAATTACTGCTTTATTTCAATTTTGATTTTAAAAAAAAGCAGCCTTGGTGCTGGTAATTAAAAAAAAAAAAAAAATCTCACAATCCCCCACTTTTGAACAGTAGTGTGTATTTATTAAATGGGTTATCGTTGGAAAAATATGATATTCACAGCCATAATCTTCACCATTACACTTTAAAATATTTCTAAAACACTTGTTTGTATTTCTGAAATCATGTGAATAAATATTAGTGCTTCAGAATTTGGTTGAGCTGCCTCAGGCTGCTGTGCTGTAGCTTGTTTACAACAGGGGCATCAGGGCGTTCTTTCAGAATTAACAAGCCTCTTCAGACAGTTTATAGGTTGCTACATAAAATTTTAAAGTATCATGGAAAGTTTGAAGGGCAGATGAGAACAAAGAGCAATCTGTGTAAAGCAGAACTGGGATGTTGCATTTCTGTCAGTGATCAGATCGATCCTAGATGAACTCACACCATGCTATACAGAATAAAAGATTCTGGTATATATACACAAGCACTACTTAGTCTTGATAGGTTTAAGAAAATGACTATTGACTAGTCTATGGAGCACAATTTTTAAGGTTTTAAATTGGATAAAATAATACACCAACAAATTATTGGTCCACAATATAGTGTATCTTTGCCTTGAGGAGGAACAAGAGGACACAGAGACTATTTCTGTCTGAATTAAACTAGCAATAAAAAAATCCATCTTCATTGCCATTTTTAGATTAGATATCAAGAAAAAAAACTAAATTAAACCTTAACAGAGCTGTTCAGTCACTGAAGTCCTCTTTTAGCAACTTGTTCAAACACAGAGGTTTCAAAATTCACATCTGAGGCAATTATTACAATTTAAAATAACTGGTTAAATATATTTCAAAATAATATTTACCTTTTGTTTTTCAGGATTGATGAATAGACATAAAAAAACAGCATTTATTTGAAATAGAAGTCTTTGGCAACAAAGTCCTTACTTTACTTTAATTTAATGCATCCTTGCTGAATAAAATAACGGTAGTATAAATCAAAAGTGTAAATCTGCTATTCTAAAAACCCAATGGAAATTCCTGTGGAAACCCATAGCTCAAAAATGATCATTTTCTCCAGGTTTTAGGACAACAAACAGGACAGCTTCATGTGCATGCTTACTGAGTGCTCTGGAGTGATCTGGATTTCTGATGCCTTTAGCCCGTAGCCTCTGCAAAAGCATTGTAGATGACAGTTGTTTGACCAGGTACACCGCCATAGAGTAACTCTGAGAAAACAATCCAACAATTGATTCATTACTAGAGACACATTGGCACCCCACACTTCAATCCGAGCAACATTTTGTAACATAGTAACATCTTATTAAAACAGTATGCAGTCTATATATATTTTAATGTAAGTTAACATGCGAAATATGTAATAATTTATGGAATAACTTATTAACCATAACATCACAGTGAGACCATGCAATACTAATGCTAGGACATAACAGAGTGCAAAAACCTACTGCAGAGAAGAAGCTTCTTCTAGGCATCCTTTATTTATATTTTCAGGTCAGTTCTTACATCATCGTTTTATCAGTGCCATATGAACAGGTTCTATAATAAAGAGCCCTTAAGATTCAGTGAGAAGGTACAGCTCATATATTTTTCACGACTCCTGAGCAAGAGTGAAAAATTTAAGGAATCTACCACAGATAGTACCAGGATTGCTCAGCCGAGGTAAGTTATACGATAAGGAATGACATCATTCATGAAGCTGAATATTATATGTAGATGCAGGATTATGCGCAAGAAGATGAATATGTTAGCTAATAAGATATAGGGATCTGTGGATGAAGTAATGAACTCCTGTCTGCCTACAGTAGTCTCAAAGTAAAACAGTGATGTTTTGTTTTTTTCCAAATCTTTTTCTTAATATGCATTAACTGCTAATGGTCAAGAGCATTCATCCATCACAAATGCATTTCCAGAACATATCAAAGGTAAATGAGCATTCACAAAGATCACAAATTATTTCAGATAATGTATAAAACTGCAGGGAAATATTTACGATTAGCACAGACCACAACACAGAGAATAGACAAAGCATTTAAATTACTAATATGCAAGTTAATTAATTTCTGTTTTATGTCTTTCCATCAATACTCTACAAAAAGTATTTTTGTTTTTCTGAAAAATGACTGAAATAAGGGCATCTGCAAGAGTGATTTTTATTTTGATATAAATTTTTTTTAGCTGTGCCTCAAAACGCCACTCCGAGAAAATACTAAAATACGACATACATGCTGACCTTTTCACACAAACAGCATTAAGCCGATGCGATAATTGACCATCATGTGACTGCAAATGGCTGCAAGACACGTATGGGGAGCTAAAAATAAATGTTGATTTCAACAAAAGTTCCTATAATAGGGCTTGCTTGATTTGTCTTATTAGACCACAAATTACTTTCCATCCTTTCCCATAAAAGGTGAAAAAAACACTATCAAACAAATGTTGCAGTACTTGTATTCACAAATCAGGAGAGGGAGGGATTATTATTAACTTACACGTCCAATTTCTGAGGTCCAGGACACTACGATGGTGTTGGGGACAGTTGTGGACAGTCTGATCAATGAGGTAATGTTGATGGGTCTGCTGGGCCTCTTTGGTTCCACGCCATTTTTGGTAGGAGGCAGATATCCCTGGTGAAAAACAATAGGAAAACAACAAATGATGAACTTGTGTATTTCATTAAAATAAAAATATTTAAAATCATTTTTTGTTTTAAACAAACAGCGTTGTGAAAATGTAATTTACTGTAGACGCCAACAGTGTCTCGACCATGTGTCTCAGATTAGAATGATGGATAGATGGACAAATGGACTGTAGTTTAACTTACTGGGAGATTACACGGTTTCCCATTGACTTTAACGCAAAGATTAGGGGGGAAGTGGTCCTCCTGAGGGCAGCTTGTCTCTGATAGACAAAACCTGGATTAAGCAGAAAACAGCAGTCTAGTGCTCTGAAGTTTTATACAGTATCATATTTATGCAAAACGTTTCAGTGTATCAAAATGTGAATAACTTACCGTAACTGTACTTGCACTGTAAAGTCACATTTGGTCCCCGATATGTCCCTATACAGAGAGAAATTCGAAAACTACTAATTTGAGATAATAAATGAGTCCAACATGACATCACACAATCAGTGCCTTATAGACACTCCTCTTCTTATTTTGGGATTTTGCTTTGTAACATCATTATATCATTTCTGAAGGAAATGTTATGAATAAACAGACTTACATTGAGCTGCTGACTTGTTGGACCTGCTGTGGCGTCAATGCAAATGCAAAACATGTTTCCTGAAACCTCTGGCTGTTATCTGAAGCTGCAGAGAGAGAAAAATCCAGACAAGAAAAATAACTACATGGAAACAACCTTACATAAAACATAAATTTGCATAGTTCACATCCAATGCTTACTGTGAACAAATCCCAACAGAACTGTAAATGACTTTGTGCTGAGTAAAAGTTTCATATAAGGTTTGTGGGCTCTGAAACAAGGAACAAGTTTAAATATGCAAAGTATTTCAACCAATCCTAATTATTTAGATAAAGTCTTTTTTAATGTTTCATTCTCAATAGCAAAGCAAGATTCTTATCCTCATAATTCCACCCATATGTGAGGGGGCTACAATCAAAGCTCGAAGAGTAAGATTACAGTCTTCTCCCCAACTCTGATCCATGTCCAGCTTAAATAACATCAATATTCCTTCAAAAAAACTTTTTCTAGGAATGCTCATATCATTCCCACTCAGTTCATTTCCATTGTCATCGAAGGGAGAGACTCAAGCTGTTTTTTTCCAAAGGTTCAAGGACAAGATAAACAATGTGTCAGAAACCATTATGGTTACAGGCGGCACTCTAAAACGGTTTCTATGACAGAGTGCATGTTTGAAAACTAAATACAGACTGTGTGAGGATTGTTACTGATTGAAAACATTTGTTGTTGTGCTACCATATTCAGCCTGCAACAAGTCATGCAAGTCTTTAGGGACTGTGCAGTTAATTACACTCAGTAACAATAAGAATGCTATAATAACAGACTGCAAATCACAGATCTGCACACTGTAACCGATTTTTGTAATTTGAACAGTATTTTACTGTAATATGTACAGTAAGATACTGTAAAATGTGTATACAGTATTTTACTGTAAACAGCAAAGGATTATTGGAAAATATACGGTCACTACTTGCAATTTAAATCAATTTACAGTAGTGAACTTGCCCGCGAAAAACTGACCAATGGCAAGGGAGTTCTTTTTTGACTGTTTGGTGGAAGTGGCCGTGAAAGGACAAAAGAGAAATGCACCATTAACTCGACAAAAGGTTAGTATATTATTTCTTTTTTATGCAAAACTGCGATATTTTAAGATGTTTTCACTTGTTAACAGTCAACTAACATTATTCATCGTGTCATTTATCATGTCGGGAGTTGGAACCTTTTTTTCTGACTGACGGCCGGAATGCCTCCAAAAGGCTGATAACATCGACTAGTGAGTAAGTTAAGGTCACCTATATTAGTCTAAATAAATCTTAGTTAAACCTGCTGCCCTTTAATGCAAGTTAGCTCCTCTGGCGAGTCGTTATTTAACCTCATCAGTGAATTAACGTGAAATACTGTGGTAAAGTGCGTTAGGCAAGCCACTGTTTCAGTGGAGATTCTAAACAGTATTTTCTAGTAATTCTTTTGTTTGTTATTTTCAGATTTCTAGTCTGGATGTAGTCCGCAACATCAGAGGTGTATTTTGGATCCTCTTCTTGTGAATGCCATAGTATCGATGATAACGTCAACTGGTAAGTTAATAATGTCAGTTAGCCGAAGTTAACTAACTTAGTTGAACAAAGAGAAGCATAGTAAGTTATCTTCTCTACTCTGCCTCTTTATCTCAAGTAAGGTAATTCTCTTCAAATGCTATTTAAGTCAGAAAGTGTGTACCAATGTCGTATGTAACTTTAGAGACGGTCCCTAAATTCAGTGACAGACGTAACGTTAACATAAAACAGCGAGCTAACAACCTACTGAGAAAAACGGAGTTAAGAAACACCACTGTTAAGAACATCTTTTGTATTTTATTTTCAAGTTTGTGGTCATGTCGTCTGCATCGGAGGTGTATGTGAGTCTTGTGATTGCCGTAGTAGCGGTGCTAACAACAGGTGAACTTCCATAAGCTTAAAGGTGCAGTAGGAGATCTTGGAAAATGCTAACATTAGCCAGATAGCACTGAAAGCGAACGTCCCACCCTCCCTGCAAACGCCGTCCAAAGTCACACCCCCTGAACACATTTTCACTCACAGACCAGAACACCAGAGACAACATTACAATAGGCTACATCAGCGGTTCCCAATTCCAATACTCGCACCCTCCTGATCTGCACATTTCAGATGTATCTCTTATCACGTCCGACGTTTGTTTTATTCGACCGTGAGTGCCCTGGGAAGTGTACATCACCGGATATTCCGCCATGATTCCAGTTCGAAGGGAGCGTATATGTTCCATACAAAGGGCATTAAAGTGTGTGAGACGTGAATTTAAATAGTATTTATTTACAGAGGTATATTATGTCACACTTCACACTTCTCTGTGTGAGAAGACGCTGCGCAGCGCAAATCCGTGAATGAATGTTCCGAAGTGAAGTAAACTTCAACGGATTTCCCTTGCTTCCCTTGCGCAAGGACTGGAATTGGAAACCGCTGGGCATCATGTGTCATTCACCGGTGATAAAACTTTATAGTACAGTTAGTAAAAGTACTACAAAACCATGAAGGAATATCGGCTTGTCTATATAAATACAGATAAATACATTAAGACCACTTAACTTAATGATTGCTATCTTGATGTGAAGAGACTTTCAACCAGCATAACAGAAAAGGTTTCTGAAGACAATCACCTATTGCACCTTTAACTAACGTTAATGTTACTAAATTAGCCAAATTATCCTCTAGCTGCTGTTCTCCACTAATTCACAGAACAGGTTGACTTTTTAAAGAGAGGAACATGCTAGCACATGTAGAAGATTCTGCAAAATTACAGTCACTGCAATCTCAACTAGATGAGTTGTATTCAGAAAAAGCAGATGGAGCTTATATTCGATCATTCGGTGAATTGAAAAAGGAGAAAAAAGTTCATCATATTTTTTCGGCCTTGAAAAACAAAGACAAGCAAAGAAAAAAAAACGTAAGCTTAAGATTAATTAAATTATAACATGATCAAAAAGTAATTCAAAATGAAATTTTGCTTTTCTATACTAAACTCTATAAATCCAATTATAAAAAAGCTGACTGTGATTTTTTATTTGTGATTATAAGAGATAAAGAACATAAACTGAATGTGGAAGACAAATTCTTAATTGATGATGAGTTGACTTTGGAGGAAATGGATGTAGCTTTAAAACAAATGAATAATAGTAAATCACCAGGTATAGATGGTTTAACTAATGAATTTTTAAAACATTTTTGGAAAGATATTAGGAAATTATTGTATAATGCATTTTTAGAATGCATTCAGAAAGGAAGCTTATCACCTACTATGAAAACAGGTTTAATAACCTTGCTACCTAAACCCAAAAAATAATTGCTATTAGATAATTGGAGACCAATAACTTTATGCACAGATTATAAATTACTTGCCCTGGTGTATGTTAATTGTCTTAAACATGTACTTGGGGAAACTTGTAGAGGGGTATCAATCAGCATTCATTAAGGGAAGATATATTCAAAACCATATTAGACTAATCCTGGATATGATCGACTATTAATCACTGATACAATCAGAAAGCCTCATTTTATTTATAGATTTTTTTTTTTAAAGCATTCGACACAGTGGAGCATGAATTTATATTTACGACGCTTAGAATGTTTGGATTTGGGGAAGGGTTTTGCAAGGTTATTAAAAAGTTCTATAACATTATTTATAGTTATACATCTCTTAATCCAGGTATGACTCCTAGAATTGAAATTGTACATGGAATTAGATAAGGATGTCCAATCTAGTGCTGGGCGGTATGACCAAAAATTTATATCACGGTATTTTTCAAAATTATACCAGTTTCACGGTACATGATGGTATTTTTATTTTCAATGCATGACTGGGTGTTAACCATATTTTCTACTGATTGAGAGAGGAAATACTGCAGTATATTGACTTAGAATGCCCTATTTTACTGTCATGATGAGTGAATATTGTCAAAAAATACCACACTAAATAGTGACTAAACACGACCCCTTTTAATACATGTTAACCAGGAGTTACTCTCATTTATAATCGCGGCTTCGTCTGATAAAATCAAAATGCATCTAAATTTTTAATGAAGAAAATATAGAATCCATTCCTGTTAAATATGAAGTAAAATCCTTGGGTTTAATAATGTCTAAAGAAATACATGCAAGAGAATTAGTAAACATAGAAGAGAGAATTGACAGTATGAAAAAAATCCCTTAATCATTGGCTAATGAGAGATATGTCTATTATGGGCAGAATGCTCTTGACCAAAGCAGAAGGCATATCTAAACTAATTTACTAATTCACTAAATAAGTGTGTATTCAAGAAAGTTGGAGGGTTAGATTTTTTGCTGAAATGTGATTTTGAGGTTTCCAAATTGCCAGTTAAGCTTTCAAAATTCCACAAACAGATTTTGTACTATTGAAAAATGATATTCGCCCAAAATGTTACACCGCATGGTTCTACTTTGTGGAATAACAGAACTATTACAATAAATAGATAAACAGTATTTAAACAGGAGTGGTATGAAAAACATTTTTTTTTATATGTTGATCTTTTAGATCCAATTATTCAACATAATTGTTGAAATTTTAGATAAAATGTTCCTGTAGAGAATTTAATACTTTGTGTAGAGACATCCCTCTTGCTTTAAAACAATTAATACAAAACACTCTTACATATTCAAATGTATCTGTTAAATTGCCTGAGTTAAAGTTTGGAGAAGTATATATTGGGGACAAAACAAATGCAAGAACAAAGTAATAGGGAATGTATTCAAATGTAAATTATATTCAGATTTCAATAGACCTTCAAAATTAAAACTATTTGACAATGAAATATTTAAAAACAAATTCTGTAATTATCTTAAATGGCCAATTCTACCTAAAATGAAGGATATTCAGTTTAGGATTATTAATAATGTGTATCCAGTTGCCGAAATTTTACGGAAAAGATTCTGTTTTGAGCTAGATCCTTGTGTTTTTTGTTTAGAAGAGCCTGAAACCATTGAACATTTATTTTTTCTTGTCCAGTCACATTGAAGTTTTGGCAGGATCTTTACAGCTGGCTAAATATTGATATCAACACTAATATTCCATCACTAAATT